GATGCCCACCTGCGTGGTTATTCCGTGTGGCCAGAGCATGGTCTGCCCCAGCTAATCCAACCAGACGGCCCCGGAGTCCAAAACACTGATTTTCTCCTGTATGTGCGGGTCGCCCACACTTCCAAGTGTCACAAAGAGGTGAGGTTCCAAGCCCACCCCTTTTCCCTCTCTTAATCTGAAGTTTTGTAAGGAGAGGTATGGAAATAGAAGCAGCTTTATTGAGTTGTGCTTTTGGGGGGCAGTTTGGGGTACGCTGACAAAGCTAGAATTTGGGACTAAGGACCTTCCACAAGGGTACCACCCCACCAGCACTCTCCAGAGGCCCTGCTCCATTTTCAGAAAGGCTCCATCCAGTTGTACTGCCTCCCTCTCCTTTCTGTGCTACCTTCTCTTGTTTGCAGCCCTCTGTCATAGCTTATGCCGCCTGCTGCCAGCTGGACTCAGAAGACAGGCCCCTCGCTGGTACCATTGTCTACTGTGCCCAACATCTCACCAGCCCCAGCCTCAGCCATAGTGACATTGTCATGGTGACTACTGCATGATGGACTGGGGGGTGGGGCCGGGGTGGCAGTCTCCCAGGAAGAACCTACTGAAGGTGGTGCCTTAGGCTCTACAGAGAGCTGGTTATGCAGAGGGCCTAGAGTCCTGCTACAGAGACAGCCCCCCCACACACACACACACTGCAACCGCTTGTTCTTAGGGTACGCTACATGAGCTGCTTCACGCACTGGGTTTTTCTGGAGAGCTCTTCAAGAAATGGCGGGATTGTCCCTCAGAAGTCGGTGGTAAGCGGGAGGAACGAGGGAGTGGGCTTCCTGTAATGTCAACCAGGGGGAGTTCACCACCTTTCGATTCTACGTCACCCTTCTAAGTTTTCCTTTTTCGAAGCCAGCCAGAGAGAACTGTTCTCCAAGGAAACAAGTGACAAGGCGAGATGAGTGGGGACAACTGATTCTCAGCACCCCAGCTGTTAGCCACAGCCTAGCCAAGCACTTGGGTGTCCCGGGGGCTTTGCTGGGTGCTCCTTTGGAAGAAGAGGTGAGAATAACACCCTGGGATGATGAGAGAAACAAGGAATAGCCAAATAGCAACCAACTAATTGCTGCCTTACCCAACAGGGCTCTCTGTCTTCACACTGGGAGTCCAGGTTATTCCAGGGCTCTGTGATGACGGCTACCTTCGAAGGTGCCCAGCGCAGTCGACTTGACCCAGTAACGCTCGCTGCCTTTGAAGATTCAGGCTGGTATCAAGTCAACTACAGCACTGCAGAGCAGCTATTGTGGGGTCAGGGTAAGAGGCAAGAGATCTGCCGGGCAACACTTCCAACCCAAGTCAGCTTTGGGGCAGGATCCAGTCTGAAGCTATTCGCTACTAAGGTGTAATTCAAACTGTAAGCAGTGCTGGTGCTGAGAGATGGGGTTTTATCCCCCCCCCCACAAGACAGGGTCTGGCTGAGTAGTTCTGGTCGTCCTGGAACTCACTCTGTAGACCAGGCTGGCCTTGAACTAACAGAGATCCTCCTGACTCTTACTCCCAAGTGCTAGGATCAAAGCCGTATGTCACTGTGGCCAGTCTGAGGTTTCATCTTCGCATGTCTTTTCTTTTTTTTTTTTTTTTTTTTTCTTTTCTTATCGCACAAGCAGGCTCTGGTGTAGGATTTGGCCTGGTGAGCACATGCAGCAATGGGTCCTCAGACTTCTTCTGCACCCGCAGGTGTGTGTTGAGTGGGCAGGGGACTGTACAGCTGTCAGTGATCCCAGCATCATCTCTCTAACTATCGATCCCACACAGTGGGCTGGGCTGCCACTACCTGCACCTGGACAAGGGAAGCTGCTCCTCAGACCCAACGCTAGAAGGCTGCCGCATGTTCAAACCCTTAGCCAGTGGGGTGAGTGGACTACAGAACAGAGGAAGCAGGCCCAGGAAGAGTCGACCTCTACGGCCTTACACCAGTCTGCCATTTTCCCTACACTTCAGAGTGAGTGCTGGAAGGTGGAGAATGGACTCCTTGCAGGAGCAGAGAACCCCCACGGGGAGATCTACCATCCCTACAGCCGATGCTTCCTTGCCAACCTCACCTCCCAAGTGCTCTCCAAAGACAAGGGCAGCCAGCTCTCGGTGACTCCCACAGGCCGTTGCTATCTTCATCAATGCACACACAAGGGAACATACAAAGTACAAGTGGAGGGATCACCATGGATACCCTGCCTTCCGGGAAGGGCTATTCAGGTGAGAATTTTTTTTCTTTCTTCCTTCCTTTTCTTCATTTTTGGTTTTGTTCCGTCCTGGAACTCCCTCTGTAGACCAGGCTGGCCCAGAACTAGCCACATAGCCCAGGCAATCCTCTTAGCAATCATCCTGTCTTAGCCTCCCATACACTGGGATTACAGACATGAACCACCAAGCCTAATATTGTTTTTGGAAATCTTGAATTTTTATATTATATGTATTTACTTAGCAGTGCTGGGGATCAAATCTGGGGCATTGCAATCTCTGGGTTGTATCTTCAGCCTCTGGTCCACCTATCTTTCTCCCCCTAATTATCTCCCTAGCCCACGACTGGGCCAGCTTCCCTAGAAGGTGACCCTAAACAAGTACCTGAGGCTGTAGCTTACACCCTACCATCCCCTTGCAGATACCTGGATACTATGGTCTTCTCTACTGTCCCCAAGGCCGGCTATGCTTGAGTAACGAAGGTACCAGTGCCATCACTTCTTCACCAAGGAGTTTTTCAACCCCAAACCTGCTATTCCAGCTGTCTTTAGGGCTAACTGGGACCCCAGGCTACACTCTGGGGAAAGAACAGAGAGAAGAGCTGGCTGAGGTGGTTCTGCAGGCTCTGGTGACAAGAGGTGGCACTAGCAGGTAAAGGGGACAATTCTACCTGTTTGGACAATGGGCCATAGAGAATGCGTGGGTCCTTTCTTCCGTACTCTCCTCTGCACTCTGCTCTCCTCCCTCTGAAACTACACTTTAGATGTTCTTCTACACACACCTCCTCCATCAGGTGATCTCACTGTCTGTTCAGGTGCTATTTTCACAGCCCAGCCATCACCTCGAGTCTGGTGTTCACTGTGAGTATGTGGAAGCCTCCAGGCTGCCAAGGGCCTTCCGTTGCTACACTGTACAGGACCCTGACTCTGACTCTTCAGGAGAAACCCCTCCAAGTACACTATGAAGAAGCCATCTTTACCACAGAATACAGCAAGTAAGATCGTGCCCCTGCTCTCAGATATTTGAAACGTTTGTTTGGGGGTTGTGTTTTTAAGATTTCCTTATTTGTATGTATCTGCATGTGTAACCTTATGCCAGAAGAGAGCCTCAGATCCCACTACAGATGGTTGTGAGCTCATGTGGTTGCTGGGAATTGAACTCAGGGCCTTGGGAAGAACAGTGCTCTTAACCATTGAGCCATCTCTCCAGCCCCCTGAATTCACATTTGTTAGGTATGCATTTATGCATAACTTTTTCTAGACAAGGCTATGTTTATCAGTAAAGATGCCCAACATCACCTTGCACCCATCAAACATAATAGGACTCAATCCCTAGAACTTAGGAATTTCAATTACCTTGTTTTGTTTTTTGTCGGGGCAGGGGAGGGTGAGACAAGGTTTCACTGTATAGCCCTGGCTGGTCTAGAACTTACTTTGTAGACCAGGGTAGCCTTGAACTTACAGATTCATCTGCTTCTGCTTCCCCAGTTGTAGGATTTTGTTTTTGTTTTTAAAGACAAGATCTCATTTAGGATCAGGCTGGCCTCAAACTTACTGAGGATCTTGAACTTCTGATCCTCCTGCCTCAGGAGTACTGGGTCATATGGTAAACACGGGCCATCACAGATCTCTTCAGCAGTGTCTTCCCATAAGCTTGTCATTACCATTAGGGTCTCCTTTCTGTACTTGATGCTGTTGGAGACTTGGACCTTGGTTTCATACCCATGTTTTGGGTTCAACATCAGCTTTTACTGGGTTCTTTGCCCTAGTGCTTGATCCAAACAGGTGTCCATTCCATAATGCCTGAACACCCCTACAGGACAAACAGTGCCTTTCCTGTTCCTAGGCTGTTGACTTCCTCGGACCATAACCTCTCTGTGACTGACCAACTTCTACCCACGGGATTCTGCCTACTGTTGCTAATTCTGGTGGGTGCATTGGGAACTATGGCTTATCAGAAACGAGCTACACGCCAAGTGGGACCATCTACCACCTAATCATCATGAGAGATACATGTGCAGGTGTGATGCCAGCCAGCAAAATGGCTCAATGGGTAAAGTCACTTACCTGAGTTTGATTCTTAAGGAGCCACAAAGTGGCAAGAGAAGACCAACTCCTACAAGTTGTCCTGACTTCTGCGTGCACATTGTATGTAGCTCATGAGTACCCATATACAGACATATATGAACACATCCAGAACTGCTTAACTTTAGTACCTATTTATGTATGAGTGTTCTATCTGTATGTATGCCTGCGTATTAGAAGAGGGCATCAGATCCCATTACAGATGGCTGTGAGCCACCATGTGGCTTCTGGGAATTGAACTCAGGACCTCTGGAAGAGCAGCCAGTGTAGCCAATGCTCATAACTGCTGAGCCATCTCTCCAGCCCCCTCTACTGCTTTTTTTTTTTTTTTCCGAGACAGGGTTTCTCCGTAGCTTTTTGGTTCCTGTCTTGGAACTAGCTCTTCTAGACCAGGCTGGCCTCGAACTCACAGAGATCCACCTGCCTCTGCCTCCCGAGGGCTGGGATTAAAGGCGTGCGCCACCACCGCCTGCCTGGCTTCTACTGTTTTTTTGTTTTGTTTCGTTCTTCAAGACAGGGTTTCTCTGTGTAGACCCTGGTGTCCTGGAACTTACTCTGTAGAACAGGCTGGTCTTGAACTCAGGAGATCGACCTGTCTCTGCCTCCTGAGTGCTGGGATTAAGGCCCTCACACACACACTTAAAAATAAATGAAGATCTATTTATTGTAAATCCTGTTCTACTTTCCTCAGAATGCCTCTTTGCCAGGATATCAACTCTTCAATAGTCTTGCCATATATAAAATGTGGAGTCTTATGGTAAAGAACTCTCCTTTATTTTGATACTCCCCCACAAATCAACAGTTTAATTTGTGAAGCATCAGTTATTTTCAGACTGTTGTGGACCAATGGCAGAGCAGGAACGTTTGCCACCAGCCCTAAGTGCATCACACACGCTTTAGAAAAGGTTGCTGCTATTCGATGTTTCTCTAACATTCATTGCTCTTTGGAGTTAAACAATGCACAGGATCAAGTAATTATTTTCCTCTCTTGATTTTCCTTAATTTATTAAATCATCACTGGAAAATCCAATAGTTGGGACATCACATTTTATACTAGAGTTGTGTGAATGTGGTAAAACCAGCTATCTGGGCCAGCAGTAGGCCTGAGTTATAAAATACAGGTTCATTTACTTATAGTAACAAAAGTCACTAAATTCTTGAATTTATACATCTCCTGCTAAAGCAGGTACGTGCCATAACCAGATTTGTCTAAATGGATGACATTTACAGAGTCCAGGTGGCATCACTAAGTTAAAAACAGTGCCGGCACTCATCATGAAGTTCACACGATTTTCTTCCCCCAGGGGCAGGGTCTCTTTGTAGCACTGGCTGTCCTGGAACTTGATATGTAGGCTAGGCTGCCTCTGCCTCCTGGTGCTGGAGAAAAGGGCACACCACTACCCCAGCAGTCAGGCACATCTCTAAGTGACATACTCCTGGTGCTGGAGGAAAGGGCACACCACTACCCCAGCAGTCAGGCACATCTCTAAGTGACATACTCCTGGTGCTGGAGGAAAGGGCACACCACTACCCCAGCAGTCAGGCACATCTCTAAGTGACATACTCCTGGTGCTGGAGGAAAGGGTACACTACTGCCCCAGCAGTCAGGCACATCTCTAAGTGACATACTCCTGGTGCTGGAGGAAAGGGCACACTACTGCCCCAGCGTCAGGCACATCTCTAAGTGACATACTCCTGGTGCTGGAGGAAAGGGCACACCACTACCCCAGCAGTCAAGGCACACCACTGCCCAGCAGTCAGGCACATCTCTACGTGACATACTTGCACTCAGTTGTCACTACAGTCATGGTCTTTGGCTTGATCAGACATAGTTATCTTCTTGATCTGATTGGCTATCAGTCTTTACCGGCAGTGGCAGCTACTTCTTGGTAAAACTTTGCCACAAAATCTGGCTCACTGACCTCCAGCTGTCTGACAAATTCATTGCGCTCCTGATCAGCCCAACCTCGAAACCACTGATCCCAAAGCCGTAGCTGACACTCAAAGATACACGGTGGCCGGTTTGCCCCAGATACACTAAGCTGCTCCAGACCATCCAGCAGAGGCTGCAGCTTTCCAGGCACTGCCTTAGCTACCAGGTCTTGTAGAAAACGTTCCCGCTGGTGACCCGACCAACTGGCAAACCAGTGAAGAATACACTTCATCTCCTGGGAAGTGATGTAAGACATTGGAGGAGGGGACGAGCCAGCAATGTCATCTGGCACTGAAGGTAATACAGAAGGGAAAGATGGTTGCATTGACGAAGATGACGATTCCAGTGGCATCCTGAAACAAACACACCTGTTAATACAGTCTATGGCAGAGAGCAATCCAAACATAACCTCCTAGGCAGCAAACCCTAGTGCACCCAATTGATAGCCACCCATTCAATCTAGAGGAAAAAAACAGGACACTTCTTTCTTTCTAGAGAAAAACAACAGGACACTTCTTTCTTTCTTTCTTTTTTTTTTTTTTTTTTTTTTTTTGAGACAGGGCTTCTCTGTAGCTTTGGAGTCTGTCCTGCTCTTGTAGACCAGGCTGATCTCGAATTCACCAAACCCACCTGCCTCTGCCTCCCGAGTGCAGGAATCAAAGGCAAGCACCACCACCGCCTGGCTTATTTCGTTAACATTTATTTGATGCTGAAGTTCTTCACGTGCTGGAAGTTTTTGTTAGCATTAGTTTCTCCTGAGATGGTTTTGTTCTTTGTAGCCCATCCTCCAGTTGGGGAACAGTTCCTTTTCAAAAGTGAAGATCCTTTTGACGTGACGTGGGTTAATCTGACCGTATTTTGGGTGCACCGCTCTGGATATTGTCAATGACCATAGAATCTACTTCAAAGCTTGTAGTTCTGCATTGTCAAGCATGTGTAGCAAAACTTCAGCACTTTTGGGGACCACCAATCACAAATCTAGCCCTACTCTTACCAACTCTACTGAAATACTGCCAAAAGGACAGATTCCTTAAAGGGACATCTTTCAGGTACTTGGTAGCTCTTTAGGTACATAAGGCCTTGATGGCTTGGGCAATTTCACATGTTTTAATGTGAACACAGACACCTAACCTCTTGGTCTGAATAATTTGGAGGTAGAGGTTTCTGGGTCAAGAGTAGAGTAATCATTGTTACAGGTTACCTCAAGCAATCTTAGAAAAAAAATCTTGCTCCCTGCCTCAGCCTTCCATGCCTTGGTGTTAAAGATTACAGGCATGTCAACACATCCACCCACAGCCTCTCTCCCCACATCCCTTCTAATTTTCGGGTAGCCTAGGCTGAACACATAGCTAAGGATGGCCTTGAACGGTGACAGCCCACCACACCATTCCCAGGGTGCTAGGAATAGAAGCCAGGGCTCCTGGCATGCTAAGAGAGCACTCTACCAGTTGGATCTCCAGCCACCACTACAAATCTTAAAACAACCAACTGAGGGGTTGGGGAGATGACTGCTCAGCATTTAAACGCACTTCCTGTCCTTTCAGAGCACTGCCTCCAGCGTCTGCGGGACACACATACACCCACAGACACAGACACTCAGCGTCTGCGGGACACGCATACACCCACAGACACAGACACTCAGCGTCTGCGGGACATGCATACACCCACAGACAGACACAGATACTCAGTGTCTGCGGGACACGCATACACCCACAGACAGACACAGATACTCAGCGTCTGCGGGACACACAGACAGACACAGACACTCAGTTAAAAATAATAAAAGCAAGCTGGTCAGTGGTGAGGCAAGCCTTAATCCCAGAACTTGGAAGGCACAAGCAGGCAGATCGGATCTCTGAGTTCCAGGCCAGCCTGGTCTACAGAGTGACTTCCAGGTCAGCCAAGGCAACACAGAGAAACTCTATTCTGAAAACCAAACCAAACAAACAAACAAAAATACTTGTTCTATCTCTCCTACTTCTGTTTCAGGTTAGGTTCACATTTATCCACTCTAAAATCAAAGTGTATAGTTTTATAAACTTTGGTACAAGCAACTGCTCCCAGACTGTTCTGTAGTTATCAACAGTGTGGGGCCATCCGTAGGCCAAAAGCCTCCTATGCAATATGTACACAGCCTCTGAATTTTGACAGAATTGTTTTTATTTTCTATGACGTCCTTAATAAATTCTGTACAGCACCAATAAATTCAGTGTAGGATGAGTAAAGGCCTTGCCTCAAGGAAGGTAATAGCTGATAAATCAGAAGTTACACTTGCAAGGTTCTGAAAAAGGTCCCTTTGGTTTCTTGACTTAGGCAGCCAAGGAAGGGAGATACTGGTGCACATGCATCTCTGAGCCGTTTTCCTTACTGGTTTATACCTATATGTGCTCATGCATCAAGTGTCAGCCAACTTCATCCAAAATGTTTAAGTCCTACAGTTTGTATCTCTAACTACGAAAACCTTCAACCCTCTATGACCTAAATTATTACTTCTGATCCTTCTGCTTCAAGTTGGATGATTTGTATCGACAAAGAAAGGAATCCCTAAAGATCAGTTCAAGTCCCGGTTCAGGGTGACTGCCATTTTCAAAGAGATCCTAAGGGATAAGTTCTTTCTAAAACTTCTCTTTTTCGGGGAAAGGGAATTTTTCCAGGGTCTTGCCACATGGCCTCAACGGTAAACTTAAATTCAATGTCATTAATACGTTTACTGCCTGGGAAGCTACTTTTTCCCACGTTTGGAAGCCGCAAGCCCCCAAGTATTCCTCAGACCGAGTGGCGAGGATGTCGAGGATGCGGGACCACAGGAGTTTCGCCACGGGAGCAGGAGGGTTCCCCAAAAGGAAACCTGCAGACAGACATCAAATCTTATCTGGACAAGGAGGGACTTCTTTACCTGTTAGTTACCTCCCCTTTCCTCTCAAAGGGCGCCCAGAGATCACTAGAGTCTTTCAGCTCCAACTCCCGCAGTCTCTTCCATGTTTCCTGAAAACCCTAAGCTGAGCCAGCCCAGTAACCCACGTACTTCCGGTCTCAAACCAGCCCCAAACACCCAAGTGCCCCAGCGCCTCATCCCCAGGTCCGAAGATAGCCGAATATCTCCGATTATGGTTAAACCCGATTCGAGGGCTTCCGAATAGATTCGATCAAAGCCTCGGCAAGACGAAAACAAACGAGCCTGAACGCAAAAAGGGAGGGGGCGGCGGCTAAACAAACAGAAAGAGCCGATTGGTACCGATGTGGAAACGGAAACGACCGAACAGTTCCGGAGGAACCCGGGGAATTCTGAGCAGTAATAGAGGGGTAGACTATGGCAGTGGGCGGAGCCAATTCGGTACGTTCGAAGGGCGTTAGCGGAAATTACCGAAGATGCCCGAAGCCGTCGGGACGGACCCGAGTACCTCACGCAAGATGGCGGAGCTGGAGGAGGTGACTCTGGACGGGAAGCCTCTTCAGGCTCTGCGGGTGACCGACCTGAAGGCCGCACTGGAGCAGCGAGGCCTAGCCAAGAGCGGGCAGAAGAGTGCCCTGGTCAAGCGGCTCAAAGGGGTGAGAAGTCAGCGTTGCCGAGGTGTCGGAGGGGAGCAGACCCGGTAGAGACGAGTCTCCGCCGCGGCGCAGGCGCAGTGTCCGGGCTCGGCGCGAGCTCTCTCAGGCCGCCAGCGCGAGCCTGCAGATCCACGCGCACGGTGGTTGGTGTGGCTTGCGCTGGAATAGAGATAACGCCGGTTCCCGCCTTAACGGCTGCAGCGCGAGCCCAAAATGGGAGGGTGCGCGCTACTCTCCCGGAGTGTCTTAAGCTCCTTCCTTCTTCCCCCACCCCCTCCTTGTTTGTGTCTGTGTTTTCGGCGCATGCGCTGCAGAAGGAGTTAAATCCCTCTACAACCACCGGTGTGGCTGGCCTTAAGGGGGCGAGTAGGGCAGGGTCCGAGTTAGGGGTACAGTTGGGCGGATAGGGTTGGTGTCTCTAGCTGCAATAATACACATGGGGTAGGGTAAAAAAATGTCCGCTTGATTAGATTAAGACCTTGGATGAAGGGAAACCTTAATAGACTTGGTGAAAGACGGGTGTCTAATTTATAGGGAATCGAGAAGCAGTCTGGATAAGAATTTGGTGACTATTAGTGTAAGAGGTGAGACAGATTAGGCAGGGATTTTCGTATCGGTTTGAGTAGATGAGAATGGGTTCGTCCTGAGGTATACCATATTGTGTATCGGTTTGATGTAGATGGAGGGAAGGGGAGATGGACTTGTGTAGTTAGAGTTCCTTAGGGTACATGGTTGATGGTGCGGATTGGGACGAGGTTAGTTCAGGGTTTGAGTTGACAGACCGTTGCTTATCCTGAAGCTGACAGTTTGTGGGTGGATGTGGATTAAGCCAAGCCACAGATGACAAAGTCTGTGGTCGATTTCTTTTTGAATTTTTAATACATTTGATTAGTCTGGATGTACTCTGCTGAAAATTGTGCCCGTTCAATTAATTTTAGTTCTGAATAACTAACCAAGTAATAGTCCGATCCTAATCAGCAGCCTCACGGGTTCGTGTAATTTAAAGCTTGTTTGAGTATTTGGATTGCCGCCCTCCACCCCCACCCCGCCGCCCCGTATTACCAGATTTAAAGTGGCTCCTAGTCAAAATTGCGGACAATAATTAGGATTCTAGTACTGATTCTGTCACTTCTGCTAATTTTTTTTTTCTGCTAATTTTTTTTTTTTTTATGACATAGCCAGGTCGCTGATTCTTTGTGTGCCTGTATTTTACATCTGTATATTTGGGAGCGGTAACCATGGCTACCTTTAAGGGTCTCATGAAGATGCATGAGAACAGTATTAGTAAAGGGCTTTTAAGCTCCATGAAAGGAGTATGGTATAAATGTATATTTAAGTGATTTAACATAATGAAAAGGCTGTGGGAGAGGTAGAAATCTGGGCTGCTTTTTGGTCCCCCCTCCTGGTTTCTGATTTTTGCTCTTCTTTATGCCAGGCTCTAATGCTAGAAAATTTACAGAAACACTCAACACCCCATGCTGCATTCCAGCCAAATTCACAGGTAAGAAAAAGGGTTTGTTTAAATAGAATAGGCTGTTTGGAGAAAATTGGAAATAGAAGGTGTTGGATCTTCCATGCTTATCAGAAGCAGTATTTTCTTAAATTATTTTTATTGCAAGTGTTCTCGTATTAGACAGTTGCTATCCTTTTCTTTTTTAAGGTTCATTTTTATTTTATGTGTATGAGCGATTTGCCTGCATATATATCTATGTATTGTATGTATGCCTGGGTCCCACAGAAGCCAGAGAGTATGCTGAGTCCTCTGGAACTGGAGTTAGAGACAGGTGTGAGCCACCACCATGTGAGTGCTGACTTGTACCTGGGTCCTCTACAAGAGCAGCCAGAGCTCTTTTTTTTTTTTTAACTATTTTATTTTTATTTATTTATTTATTATATTATGTGTATAGCATTCCTTCCACGTGTGCCTGCAAGCCAGAAGGGGGTGCCAGGTCTCATTACAGATGGCTGTAAGCCACCATGTAGTTCCTGGGAATTGAACTCAGGACCTCTGGAAGAGCAGTCAGTGCTCTTAACCTCTGAGCCATCTCTCCAGCTTTCAGACAGTTGAATTCTAATCAAGACTAATTTTGCTTAAAGAGTAAAAAAAAAAACCATATTAGAGGAGCTGTAATTTTGGATACTTGCAGTGTAGCATGCCAAAAGGTATAGCTCTGATGAAGTGTGCCACAAGAATCTGAAGTCATTTGCCATTAGTTTGGGGAAAAGTTGTCTTTGAATAGGGATGTGAAATAAAACACCTGTTATTAACAACTCTTATTGACATAGTTTTTTTAAGAAATTGATTCTGTATTAAAAATTCCTTATTTCTAGTGCTAGCTGCTTAACTATATACAGTTACTCTTAGACATCCCTGAAACCTTTGTCACGTAGGAAAAGGAACTGAACATTTGAAGGCCTCATTTCCTTACCTGTAGTAGGAAAAGTAATTGGACTCAGCTCTTAGTTATGCACCTGTTCTGCCTTGATAGCTGGGAGAAGGCACTTTATGCTTTTTTGTTGTTACTGTTTTGTTTTGGAAGAATGAGACAGAATTTCTCCTGCCATGATGGCTTGGAGCTCCCAATATAGCCTATGCTGACTTTAGACTCCGGGCAGTCCTCCTACCCAGCTTCCCTGGTGCTGGGATAACAGACTTGTGCCCTGCCCACAGCTTTCTACATATGTTTTATTTTGAAGACAATATTCTATAGTTAAAAGCAAAATATAAATGTCTAGGCCATATCGTCTATTAGAATGCTTTTCATCTTTTAAACATTCCTTCATTTAATATGCCATACACTTAAAGGAAAATGCAATGGTGACTGGGCCCAGGACTAGATGAGGTCCCAGGATACTGTGGAAAATCTTCTGTTCCCTTGTTAATACCTCATTAAGCTGTGAGTCCCATAATCTAGTCAGGTTTCTGAGGTTAACAAGCATGGAAAAAAAAAAAAACCAACTGTGTAAGGGGCTGGAAAGATAGCTCAGTATTCAAGAGTGCTTGTCACTCTGATTCAAATTAGAGTTGATTCCAGCACCTCCATTGTAAACATCTGTAACTTCAGTTCCATGGGAGCCAACCCTCCTCTGACTTCCAAGAACTTGGCTGAGCACACAGAAACACATACACACATCCATCTAAAGGTATGCGTGCATATACCCATAAGTGAAAGCTGAAGAGATGCTCAGTAGCTAAGAGTACTTGTTGCTCTTTAGAGGACCCAAGTTCTGTTCCCAGCACCTACATGATGGCTCTCGGCCGTCCTTAACTCCAGTTCCAGGGCATCCCATATCCTCTTCTGGCTTTGAACACCAAGCATACACGTGATGCACATACATCCATGTAGTTTAAAAAGTCATACATATAAAATAGAATAAATAAATAAATCTTCAAAAAACAATTTAAAAAAGAAACTACTTAGAATAGTCAATTCACAGTTGTATTTTTGGGTCATTTGATTTTGCAGGAAACATAGTTGTTTTCTTACTCTTGGAACTCAACAGTTCACTAGTGTCCATTGAGTACTGAGAGACTCCCATACTGTAGGTGAAAATAAGTAGTTACTTTTAGAAAATATGGAAACATCGGAAATATTGGATTGACTTGCCTTTTTTGGAAGTCTGAAGACATACAAGAAGGACTTGAGGGAGACTTGTAAAGAGAGAACTGAAGGGCAGAAAGAATGATGTGGGAGTGTTATAGATGGGGGAAAGGATTAACCCTGGATTGACTTTGTTGTTGTTGTTTTGAAGCAGGCTCTCTCTGCATCCCTGGCTACTCTGGAATTTCCAGAGATCCTCCTGTCTCTGCCTCTGCCTCTAGCTCCACCTCCCTAGTGCTGGGATTAAAGGTATGGGCTACAAAGCTATTTGGTTGGAGTTTTTGAGGCAGGGACTTCTCTGTGGCCCAGCCTCAAACTATGGCAGCTCTCTGGCCTCAGCTCCTCTCGCGGTATGATTGCAGATAAAAGCCACATGCACTCCCCTTTCTATGGTTTATTTTTTTTATCTTTTAATTGAAGTGGTGTTATAAGTGTCTCGAGTATTGAATGTATATTCCTATCTTTGGTCTCTTAATTTCATTTAAATACTATGCTTATTTTGTTTTGTTTTTGTTTTTCAAGATAGGTTTCTCTGTAGCTTTGGAGCCTATCCTGGAACTAGCTCTTGTAGACTGGGCTGGCCTTGAACTCACAGAGATTCACCTATCTCTGCCTCTGGAGTGCTGGAATTAAAGGCGTGCCTGGCAATACTATACTTTTTTATATTCATTTTGTGTGGATGAGTGTTGTGCCTACATTTATGTACGTGCACCTTGTGTATGCCTGATGCTCTCAGGTGTCAGGACATTGGAAACCTGAAACTATAAATGGTGATGGTGAGCCACTATGTTGCAGGGTTTGAACCCAGGTCCTCTGTAAGAGCAGCCAGTGCTCCTAACTGCTGAGCCGTCTCTACAGCCCCGCACTTGAACTTTTAAGATATGTAACAAATTTTTTTCTGGGTTGGTGAAGCTTGATCTTTTGAAGAAGCTATGACTTTTTCTTCTCAGATTTACTTACTTTTTAAAACTTGTTTGATTATTTATTTATTTATTTATTTATTTTGGTTTTTCAAGGTACAGTTTCTCTTGTTTAACAGCCCTGACAGTCCTAGAACTCACTCTGTAGAGAATTATTTATTTTGTTTTTAGGAGTGTTTTGCCTGCATGTGCACTGTGTCTGTACCTGGTGTCTGTAGAGGTCAGGTCCCCTGGGACTG